AAATTTTTTTATTAATTAATTAAATTCAAAATTTAAAAAAAAAAATAAAAAAAGCTCTCATTGTAATTAAAAAATAAAAAAATGTTTAAAAAATTTTAAAGAAATTTAAAAAAAAATTAAAATTGTAATTAATTTTTTTTTTTTTTTTTTTTTTTTTAATGTATTTTCATTCAGCTATCATACCAATTTGATTATCATACAATGAACTACCAAATTCTTACTATATTCCTTTTCTACAAAACATTATAAAATGAATTATTATAAAATAATATAAATGGAAAAATGATTTCTTTAAAAGGAAGATGTGTTTAATTTATTTGAAAAATAAAAAATTTTGAAAAAAACAAACCTCCCCTGTTTCAAATTATTACCAATTTTGATTGTAGCAGATCTACATTTTTTTGTGCAATACAAATTTTACTTATTTTGGAATTGATGTTTTAAATAAATTAGGAAATAGTTATAGATTAATAAATTAATTTTAAATTAAATTTTTTTTTTTTTTAATTTTTTTTTAAAAAAACTAAAAAGTATTTAAAGAATAAAATTTCATAAAATTTTTTTTTTTTCATTATACACATTCAGGTAAGATAAATTAAAAAAAAAAAAAAAATTTCAAAAAAAAAAAAAAAAAAAAAAAAAAAATTTCAAAAAAAAAACCCCCCCCCCTTCCCATCCCACTATTATCAATATGGTTAATTATGTATTCTGCGGGGGGGGATACATAATTAACCCCAAAAAAACCCCCTTCCCTTCCCACTATTATCAATATGGTTATTATGTATCCTGCGTGGTGGGATACATAATTAACCACAAAAAAAACACACTGCACCTCACTTCACACTATTATCAATATGGTGGTTAATTATGTATTCTGCGTGGTGGGATACATAATTAACCATTCGGCTCTAATATACTAACCTCCTCGTTGTAGAGCTGGAAACACTCTTTACAAAGAGTGGCTAAGGGTATAAAAAAAATATAAATAAATAAAATAATGGTATTAATATCATTATACACACTCAGGTAAATTCAAGATTATCAAGTTTTATTGTATTATGATTATAAGTATTTTATTGGATCAAAATAATTATTAAAGCATATCATCAAAAAAAAAAAAAAAAAAAAATATTATCAAAACATATCGAGGATTTTTAAGCATTAAAACATATAAAGTATTTTTTTAGCATTAAAACATATAAAAGATTTTTTAGCATTTAAATATTAAAATTCAACTATAGTTTATTTTTTTATAAAATTTATTATCATTATACACATTCAAGAATATACAATTGGATCATTCAATAATACCAAGATTTATTGTATAATTATAAGGTAATTATTTTATTGTATCATTAAAACATATCAAATATTGTGAAACTATCAAGAATATTAAATATAATGGATCATTAAAAATTATCAAGTGTTGTGTATCATTCATAATATATCGATATTATGGATAATTAAAAATATCAAGAATTATATAGCATATAAAAATATCAACAATTGTGTATCATTAAAATTTTACCAAGGATTATTTAGCATTATAGATATCAAGGATTATCATTAAAACAAATAAGCATTTTTTATTTTGATACCATAATTTTATCAAGTATTGTTTTCAAATATTATGGACAATTAAAAATATTATCAAACATATCGAGGATTATTTAGCATTAAAACATATCAAATTTTCTAAAACTTATTATCATTATTGTGTATAATATACCATCTTATCATTTCAAAACTTTTAACAAATAAACAATAGTAAATAAACAAATAAATTAATTTGTAAATAAAATTTCTATATATTTTAAATTTTTATAAAAAAAAAAAAAAGAAATAGTTTTATTTTTAATTATAGATTATACATATTTATTATCTTTTTTTATTGAAGATTTTTGTGTTTATTTGACTCGACGTCTTTGGCATATCTAAATGTATAGAACTTGTAAGTTTCAGGTCTTTGTTTTGTGCAGTAATTACCCAAGAATTGAGAATCGACTGGTACTATATTATTAACAAATCCTCTTTTAGTCATTTCTTCGATGAAATATGAAACACCCTAAATTTAGTTATATTAGAAATTATAATTAATAGCTATAAAAAATTTAATGATTAGCTAGGCTAAATTATAATCTTACATCTCTATCATCTGATAAAATTTCATAAAAAACACCATCTTCTTTTAAAAACTTTTGAATTACTTTGATTAAATTATCTACACTTAACATTGAATATGTTAGTTCACTACCAAAGATTATATCATATTTTCTTTCATCAGTATTATTATCAATTTCGTCCCAATTTAAATTTTCTACGCTTATTTTGTTTCTAATATTATTTAAATCTAAAGTTTTATCTACTGATTGAGCCTCTTCATCATCGCTATCGAAACCTTCTTGTTGCTTTGCATTTAATTCGACATTATACTTTAGATTTTCTACCAACTATATTTATGTTATGTAAGTAACAAAATTATAATGAATCTACAATAAAGTTAATAATGATATTTTTATATTTACTGGGTTTAAATAGTCTGTTAATGTAACATTTTTAGCATAGTAAGCAGAAAGGATACCAGGTAAGCCAACACCACTGCCTAATTCTAATACACTTTGGCCTTCGAAAGCATTTTGATTTTTATAAATCCATCTTGATAAAATAATAGCAGCATCCCAAATTGAACAGCCTATACCACCTTCAATAATTGACATTTCTCTAATGAAAATTTCTTTTTCATGTTCTCTTTCTTTTTTATCATATTTGCCGAATCCTACAGTTTTTCTTTTATAATGATTGGCACCTAAAGCATACTCCTTCCAATCAATACCTAAATTACCCATTTTTTCTCTTCCGTTTAACATTTTCTCTTTTCTTTTTTTTTTTGTTTAAATTTCTTTTACAAATATAAATGAAATAATAAATAGGAATTTTTTTTAAAAAAATAAAAAATATAAAAAAATAAAATTAAAAACGAAAAAAAAAAAAAATTCGGAAAACGAATAATTATTTTTTATTTTTATATTTTTTTTTTTTGGGAATGATTTTTCTATTTATATATAAAATGATTTAAATTAGTTGGAAATTATTTGGTCTTGAAAAAATTAACATTTAGGTGTTCACTAAAGGTGTGGGATGTTTTACCTTAAAGCTTCTTTACAAAAAGCTAAAGTATATAGATTTTCTATACTATTATAAAAGTAAAGTTATTACTATCTTTTAAATTTTTATTTAAAAGCTCGTTATATGCTTTTTCTTGCATTTTATAGTACCAACATTATTAATCGATCTACCCCAAAACTACCTATTATTGGTAAAAGGATTGGGCCTAACATTTCCAAATTTTTTTCTGCATTACCTATACTAGTATATTTTATAAAAAAAAGTAGTAAAATTAATGAAAAGATATTTTAATTTTTTAAAAGATTTATATCACAATGGATTTTAATTTAATCGAAAAAATTTTCTTTATTTTTTATCATTTTTATCATTTTTTTTTATTTTATTTTTATTTTTATTTTTTTTTTTTTTTTTTATCTTATTTTTCCCTTTTTTTATTTTTCTTTTTTATTTAAATTTTAATTAATGAAAACAATAAGATTTATACAACAAACCTCAAACATGTATAATAACAATAATAAATATAAGATTAATAGAAATAATAGAAATAATAATAATAATATTCAAAGACCCAAACCCACACATTTCTTAGGTTTGAAAATTGATAAAGAAGCGAATGTTAATTTAGAAAACGTTGCCAACCAGTTAAAACAAAGACATGTAAAATTACAGTATGTATATATATATATATATCAATGGCTACTTTACTATTTTAAAATCAAATAGTATTAATACATTTTCTTTAAAAGGGGTTCATTCATTAATAAAGAAAAATACCATATATCAGTAATTATTTTAACATTAGATACTGAAGAAAAACTAAATAATGTTAAAGCTTTATTTTCAGAAATTAAACAAGTTTATGAAAAGAGATATTTATCACAAAATTTAACAATTAAAACTCAAGTTTCAGGTATTGGGTCATTTAAAGAAAGAACATTATGGGCAGGTTTAAAAGAAGATGAAGATAAAAAGAATTTGGTAGATTTTGTAAATGAAATTAGGGATATATTTAAAAAGCAATCAATAGAAATCGATGATAGAGATTGGTCACCACACATCACTTTAGCCAAAGGAAAAATCCTTGCTCCAATGATAAATCATCCATTCACATTGTCATTAGAAAATAAAGATTTTGGAATTCAACAATTTACTGAAATGGATTTAATGAAAATAGGTTCAACAGACAAAGATAATGGTTATTATCAAGTAATAGACACAATAGATTTTTCATAAAAAAATAAATAAAATGAAATAATATAATAAAAATTATCTAAATAAAAAAAAAAAATTATATAAAGTGTTTTATTTTTTATTTTTTTTTTTAAGGGTTGTTTGTTTCATTGTTATCATTATTGTCATCGTTATTATTTTCATTTTTTTTATAAATATCTGATGGTAAATAAATATTTTCTTGATTTCCTTTTAAAACATCGTCTTCTAAAATTTCAAAAACGGTTGCAACTTGGTTTACTACAGTGAATCTTACATTTAAAATATCGATACTAAATCTATGTTTTTCTGGTTGACCATCATCTTCTTTCTCATCGTTATCTTGGTTTGATTCGTTACTTTTAATATCTTTTAATTTATCAGACTTTCTCTTTCTAACTGATCTAATATCTTCGGTGAGTACTTCAATAATACATGTTTCGATATCTTGATAGTTGTCATAGAATTTAAGTTTTTTTGAATCTACAAATGCACGTAATTGATCTTTTGCAACATCTAAAATGATAACATCATCGAGTGGTGGTACTACTGGTTGGGTAACCCATGCTGGATTAACAACACTTTTAACTGAATCATGAACTGAATATGGTTTAACATCTAAAATTGGTGTACCATCAATTAAATCGATACCTGATAAATAAATTGTATCACCAACAACTTTATCAATCTTTGCTACACTAAGACCAATTGGATTTGGACGATGTGGAGTTCTTGTTGAAAATAATCCGACCTTAATGCCATCAAGACGTGGTGGTGCAACTTTTGCTTTTACACCATTAGCTGGACGATCAGCTCTAACTTGTCTAAGTGTATTGGTATTTTCGTGGAAAATAAAAATTAACCAACAATGACTATATTGCTCTAAACCTTCTAATGAATAGCTTGGATTAACACTTGTTTTTAATCTTAATTTGGCTTTACCTTTTGTAACAATTAAACCTTGTCTTGGTGTACCATTTCTTTCTCTAAAACAACTTTCTAAAAATCCAATTGGTGGGTAATCTGGTGGTCTTTCAACATTTTTATTTTCTCTATCCTCTTTATATGAGTTTACAACTCTTCTTAATTCCTAATATATTTTAAAATATTATAAAAAATTAATAAATATTAAAAATTTTAAACCCTATAAATCTATATTTAATTAAATATATACTCTTTCAGCTCTTGTTCTACCAAGTCTTTGTTCTTCACATTTCTTTTGTTCATGTAATTTATTCTTTTTTTCAACTTCGAGTTTATCTTGTAATAATTTAGTTTTATTTTTTAAAATATCTATATATAAAGAAATAAAAAAGAATTAGTATAAGAAAAACAAAAAACTGAGTTTAATTGTATCTCTAAATTTTAAAAATGATAATTTACTTAAATAAAAAGAAAAAAATAAACTTGAAACTAAAAATGGTAATGATACTAAAACAATTTTATTGTTAAATAGTTTTTTTAATATTTCGAGCAATCCCATTTTTAAAAAAAGATATATTAAAAAAATAGATCCTTTATATACAACTCGTTTTGAAAATAATTAATTATTTTTTTTTTATAAATTTATAAAAACGAAAAAAAAAAAAAAAATCAAAAAAAAAATTATAAAAAATAAAATTTTTTATATAAAAAAAAGATTTAAATATTAGTTTTATTTTATAAATAATTTGAAAATTAATAATTAAAAAAAGATAATTTGGAATTATGGTTTTTAATTATTATTTGTTGTTGTGGTTGTGGTTGTTTCTTCAATAAATTCAACTTTATCACTTGCTAATTTTGAATCATTGGTCCATGATTTACCCCCATCATTTGATTTTTGAATAATGGTTTCTTTTTTGAATTTTTGCTTTTTACCCTTTTTACCAGATGAAGAACCACCAAATTCAGATGATGTCATCATAACTGGAGCATTAGTGACTTCAGTGTAACTGACATTGGTTGGAGCTGGGGCAGTTTCTTCAATAACAGGTACTAAAATCTCCTCTTGTTTGTAAATTGGAGCAGTGGTAGTTGTGGTGGTTGTGGTTTGTTGTGATGGAATTGGTTGGGCAACAATAACTTCTTCTTTAGTTGGAACTGTTTCATAAATAGTTTCAATATAAGTAGTAGTTTCAATTGGTTCTTCACGTAAAATTGGACCATTAACTGGTTTAGTCTTAAGGGAAGCATTTCTATCAATAGCTCTAAGTTCACCTTCTTTTTCAATGGCTGATTTCTTGGCCATGTAATCATTCTTCTTTTGATTAACACTAACTTTAATTGCCTCTTTCTTCATTTTATCGGCATATAGTGGTTCATCTCTGTAAGAGTATTTGCCTCTATCATCCAATCTATGGGCCAATACATGGGCATTCATAATATTTCTTCTAGTAAGATCTGAACGGGTAATGGTATCATGAATTGTAATTTGATCAATGTAATATGGTTTTTCATAATAGGTTGGAACAAAGTATTCTCTACCTTTTAATAGGTATTTTCTTTCATGATAACCAAGTAAATGAAGGCTTGGATTATCATACAAAGTGTTTCTATATTCTCTTGGGTCTTTTGTACCACGATAGTCTTTTAATAACATATGTTTCTTCATTGGAACTATTTTTAATTAAATTAAAATTAAAATTAAAATTTTATTTTTTTATAAATTAAATATTTAAACTTACCTAATTTTCCTTTGTGGTTATGTTCACAAACTGCACCAGTATGATAACCACCAATAAATTCTCTTGGGTGAGGATTGTGGGCTCTGTTAATCCAGAAATAATGATAAGGACGATCTGTCATTTTTTTAAACAAATAAATAAATAAATAAATATATTAATTGTATTTGTAGTTGATAATAAATAAAATTTGTGTAAAAAATAAAAAAAATAAAAAAATTTCTTTTATATAAAAAATTATAAAAATTATTAAAAATTATATTAAAATATAAAATACTAAAATTATAGTTTACATTATTATTAATTATTATAAATAATCAAAAATATTTAAAACCCCCCAAAAAAAAAAAAAAAAACAAGTAATACTAAAAATTATAAAAATAAAATTTTCCAGATTTAGAAAAAATAATTAAAATTTTAAAAATTTTTTTTTTTTTTACCCCCACACCTTTTAAGTATTATTACTCGTATGAAATTAAATTCGAATTATATTTTAGGTTTATTTAATTAATTTTAATTTAAATATTAAATAATAACTTTACATTTTTAAATTTCTTCATTATAACTAAAAATGAAAAATAAAATTAAAATATTAATATTAATTTTTATTACCAAAAAATTAAAAAATAAAATACTCACAGTAAAGATGTTTCATCATCTTGTTCCCTTTGTTTATGGAATGGATTGGCAGATGGCCAATATGAGTATGCTAAAATAGCAGTAAATACATTATTTAAAACATTGAAATAGGTAACAGAAAGAGCTAAAAAAAAAAAAAAAAAAAATTAGTGAAAAGAAAAAAGAAGTGAAACGAAATATTAAAAAAAAAAAAAAAAAAAAAAAAAAATAATAATATACTTACAGGTTGGGTTCAATGGACCAAATGTACCTGCGAAAATACCAAAAAGGATTGAAAAAACATATACTAAAATTGGAATTGAAATAAATAAGAATTTGGCAAAATTATATTTCTTTGCATAAGCTACTGGGAAACTTGTAATTACTAATAAAAGGATCCATAATAAAATACAAATAAATATAGTTGCAACTAAATAAAATAAAATTTGAATACCGTTTTGTGAGGTAGCTGGGCCAATAATTGGATCTTTACGATCTCTAATATTAATCCAAGAGAATAATGCAATACCTAAAATTGTAAAAATACCAACTAAAACCACCTTGCTAATTGTTGAGAATGTCCATTCAGTTTCTTTTGTATCTGTTCTTAAACGATCCAATACCATTAATGAATAAAGTGAAAATATTGATAAAAATATAATTGAAAAAAGTGCATTGCAAAATGGGAAAAACCATCCTTGGGTGGCATATTGTAAACCATATAATGGGTTATTTGATAATAACAATACGAAAAATATAGCAAATAAATATCTATAATAATAATAATAATAATAAATTATTAAAAAAAGTAATGTTAAAAATGATATATTAACTTTTTAAAATATATAAATTTTTGATAATTACTTTTGTTCGAATGTCCATTTGATTAATGAATAGGTTCTCATTGCAACTAAGAAACCAACAATACCTATACAAGAAATGATTACCAAGGTTAAATGTACACCAATTTCAAAACTAGAGAATGAATCGTGTGCTCTCCAAGCAGTAAAATTAATATCACCAATGGCTGTAGATTCTGAAACAATTGAAATTTGAACAGTATATAAAACGTAGTCTAAAACTTCTTCATCGATAATGGTTAAGGTATTACATGGTCCATACCCTGGATCGCATAATATAATTTGTGATGTATTTTCTGACTTTAGTAATATAGATCCTAATGCTTTAATAGTGACTAAAAATGTAACATTCTCTGCTGTAAATTGTGTAAGATTATTTGAAAATGGTGTTATTTCTAATGACCAAAATCTATTTAATGTGCTAACTTCTGGCATTTCTCTACTCCATATATTACCCTGCATATTTAAAAAATATAAACATTATTAATAACTCTTGTATACATTAATATAAATAAACTATTAATCTTACATTTGTAAGGTTTTGTAAACCCACACAGCTACTATCTGACCATATGTGGGTTCCATTTTCACATTGATAAAGATTATATGAATCAGAGTCATATACTTTTGGACCTGTGGATCCAACTATAATTGCAATAAGTAATGCTACAACACAAATACCACCAACAATAAACAAACGACGAATCGATGAAATGTCAACATTTGTTAATAATCCTGCTGAATCTGACCCTATATCTGCTGTTGTTGATACCATTTTGTATTTATTTTATTTTTATTTTTATTTAATTTTGTTACTTTTTATACAAATTTTATTTTTATATTTATTTTGATTTTTATATTGATATAATAGTGAAAATTTTGTATTTGATTTGTTTTTAAACCGCTGTTTTTTTTTATTGGGTGGGTTAAAAAATAAAAAATAAAAGAAAACAAAAAAAAAAAAAAACCTAATAATATTTATTTATTTATTTAATTATTTGATTAGTTTTATTTTTGATTACTATGACAGATTTGTATAACGATTATTATTAGACAAAATTTGTTTGTTAAAAAAAAAATAATAAAATACAAAAAAAAAATAAAAAAAATAAAAAAAAAAATAAAAAAATAAAAAAATCTTTTTTTTTTTATTTTTATTTTTTTTATAAAATATTTTTTAAAATGATTATAATAAAAAGGAATAGAGCTGCCAAATTATAACTGGTTTGTTTTTGGAAACATTCAAAGAACAATAATTTTTATCAAAAATCTATTATGATATTAATTAAAATCGATGATAAATATCAAAAACTTACAGCAAATTAAAAAAAATTATATTTAATGTATATATTTAGAAATAATTTTACAAAATTAAAATGTATATATTTAGAAATAATTTTACATTTTATTTTAAAATTTTCATTTTATATTATAACATTCTTAAATTAAATTAAATTAATAACTGAAATAAAATTAAAATAAAAAAAAAAAATGATCAATTAATAGATTGTTTGGATATCTCACTCAATATATAATTTATATTTCTATTTACAAATTTTAGAAAAAGTGAAAAATGTTTTAATTGTGGGGTTTATTTTTATTTTTAAATTATTTAAATATATATTTTATTACACATAAAAATAAAATATTTTTTTTTTAAAAATTTTTTTTTTATTTTTTTTTATTTTATTTTTTTTTTTAAATTTTTTTAAATAATATTTTTTGATATATTGCGATTAAAATTTTATATATATAAAATTTGGTATATGTGTGGATTGTTTAATAACTAATAAACTATCTTTTGTTATTATAATAATAAGTCATAAATCATAAATATTAGAGTAATCATTATTTATTAGTTTTCAAATAAAAAAATAAAAAAAAAGAGAACAGAATCTCTTTTTTTATAATTTTGTATATAAAATGTTAGTACCAGAAGATGACAAACTAGACGAAGAAAAGATGATAAATATAGCAAAGAAACTTTGGTTTATAGGTTTCTTTTTTTTACCATGGGTTTGGTTAATCAATATTCTTTATTTTGTTCCACATAGAAATAATTTAAATGACAAAGTTAAATGGTGTAGGTTTTTAGGATTATAGGATTATAGTTTTGGTATTATTTTACAAATAATTAACATTTAGCTTTTAATTTATTATTTTAGATTTAAAATTTTCATTAATTGGATTTTTTGCTTATTCAACAATATTTATGGCATGGATGGGAATTTATTTAGTTAATAGAAACAAATGGGGTGCATTTGGTGATAATATATCAATTACAATTCCTTTTGGCTAATATCATAATATACAAATAAATTTAAATTATAATAAAAACAACAAAAAAATAATAATAATAATATAATTAAGAACAAAAAATATCATTACAACAGCTCTGTAACATACAACAACAACCAATTACTTTTAGCATTCAACAATAGCAAAAAAAAAAAAAACAACTAATGAAATTTGTATATTTTCCAAAATAAAAACTAATTAATAAAAATAAAACAATTGATTTATAATTTTATTATTTATAGAGTATAAAAAAAATTCTTATTAGAATTTTATATTTGTTTTTTTTTTTTTTTAAGATTTATTACATAAAAATACAACATTAAATAAATAAATAAATAAATAATTTTTGATTTCTAAAATGTATCAGAATTGATGATTAAATTGTTATGTATTCTTTTAAATTCACAATCCCTTTTTATAGATTTTAGTATATCTCTTCTTTGGATTCTATTCTATTAAATTGATAATATTAATACAATTGTTCGCGATAAATAAAATATAGATTAAAATAATAATGTTATAATGAACACTTACTCTTTTTCTTTGTTCACAATATTCCATTGATAATATCAATAACTCTTCACAAACATATTGTAATACTGCTGTTAAGTAAACTGTTGAGCATTTGGAGATTCTTGGAACCTTAAAAAATTTGTTCGACTTTAGTATCGAATGAACCCTACTGACCTATTAATGTAGTTATTTAAATAAAATTAGAAACATTATAGTAGTTGGTTGTTGATGATAATCGATATTTACAGGAAAGGTTAGTCCACACTTTTTTGATAGTGAAACCCTAGGTTTTCTTGGTTTTTTTGTTTTGGTAACTTTTGTTGATGTTGTTTCTGTTGTTTCTGTTGTTTCTGTTGATTCTTTTGTCTCTTTTGTTTCAATTGTTATTATTTTTCCTACTTTGTTATCCTCCTCCTCCTCTGCATCGGTAATAGCACTTTGTGTAAAAATTTGATTGGATACTTCACTATCACTATACTCTTCTCTATCATTAAAATCCCATGTATAGGCATTGTCATCATCATTTCTTAATTTTGAAATTTCTTCATCAAAACCTTTATTAAAACTTGTAAGATTTGGTGTTGTACTTTCACTATTAATATAATTTGTATTAATTTCTGTTGTGTTAATTTCTGTTGTATTATTTGTGGAGCTATCATTGTTTTTATTATTATTATTATTAATAAAAATACTATTATAATTATTATTTATAGAATATTCTGAAATATGGGTTTGTTTTTTATTATTTGGTGTACTACTATCACTATCTGCATAACTAGTGTTATCAAAATCTGTAAGAAAATCATTATCACTATCAATATCTTCACTATCGATATAATCCTCATTATCATCACTTTCATCACTACTGCTTTCATCTATATCCCTTTCTAAATCTTGTTGCAATAATGTTCTTTGGGTTCTTGATAAAGTTTCTATATTAATTCGTGGTAAACGTCTAGGTGCAGATGATGTTAAGGCGGGTGAGTTAATAAAATTGTTAGCTTCCTCTATTACTTCTGTTGTTGTTTTCTTGTCCTGCCTCGCATTTTTTTTAGCTCCCCTTGTAGGTTTTGGTTTTGAGATTTCATCTTGTTCTTGTTCCATCTCTTCTTCTTCTTCCTCTGATATATTTTCATCTTTTTTTTGTTGTAGTCTCTTTTGTCTTGTCATTGGCGAAGCTACTTGCTTTGCTGTTTTCTTTTGTGTTGCTTTTTTCGGTGTAGATCTTTTTGAAGGTGTTGTGGGAGGTGTTGGATCTTCGTCATTATTCTCTTCATTTTTATCCTCTAATTCCAATCTTTTTCTTGTTTTGGGTGGAGCTATTTGTGTTGTGCCTAATCTTTTCTTTGGTGTTTTATTTGAAGGTGGTGTATAAACTGATAAAGTTGGTGAACCAATGGATTGAGAGTTGTTGTTTTCATTTTCTGAAATATCATCAAAACCACCACTACCAAAATCACCAAAATCTATATTTCTTCTGACATCATCATCATCGTCATCATCATTTTCCTCTTCTTCATTATTGATATTATTGGATTTATTACTATTAGTATTGTTTTTGCTATTATTTACTCCGATATCAGTTAGTGTATCCCACATTGGTATTGGAGATGACATTGATGAAGATGGTGTCATTTTGCTGTTTCTATGTGGATTGTGTAATGATTTTTGTGAGGAGGGTGATGATAACAATATTTTCTCTTTCATTAATTGTCTTGATTGTGTATTAATTTTATGTATTACATTAGCCCATAATGATTGCGATGATGATGGGGACGAGGATATTATTGACTGTTGTGATTGTAACTGTGACGATTGAGATAGTTGCTGTGATGATGGTGTTTGTTGTGACTGTGACTGTTGTGACGATGTTGGTGTATTCATTTTTTTTTTATTTACAAGAAAAATTATAAAATTGTAATTATAAAATAATAAATAAATAATATAAAAATAATAAATATACGAAGTATAATAATATAAAAATAATAAATGAAATATGTGTTAAAAAAAAAATTTTAAATTGAAAAAAATAATTTAAAAAAAATTAAAAAAATAAAAATTAAAAAATAAAAATAAAAAATAAATAAATAAACAAATATGAACTTTTTTTGTAAACAAATAAAATACCAAAACTATTTATAAATTTGTAATATATTTGTGAAAAAAAACCAAACAGTTTTTCTTTTTAATTTTATTTTAATTTTTTTTTTAAAATTTTTTTTTTTTGTGATTTATATTAACATTTGGAAGAGATTTATTTTAAAATTTTTGATTGATTGGTTGATTGATTAAAATTTCGTATTTAATTTAAATTATTTGTATATATTTTATATTTTTATATTTATTCTGATTTTCCAACTTTTGGTTCGTAATCTTCAACTTTTTTCATGGCTTCTCTAACTTTTGCAAGTCTTTCATCAGCACCTTTGCCATAATCAGCTGATTTTTGAGATTTATACTGTTATAAAATTAAACAAAACATTAATATTATATAAATATAATTTTAAAAAGGTGGGAGATAATAAATATGAAAAATAAAAACTACTGCGAGTTTTGGATATTGGATGAATATGATTGGGCCATAAATAGTATGATTATGATTTTAATTATAGTCAAGATTATGACTATTGTAATTATTATGATTATAAATATGATAATAATTATGAATATGGTTATAAAATGGCTAAATTGTAATTAGGACAATTATGATTACTATAAAATATATTTGTTGTGAAAATTAAATGATGATTTGATAATTTGAAATATATTATTGATACTAAATCATATTATAGCTGTTATTTCCGAATATTTTATTATAATATCTATTTTTGTAATGATCATACTTCTTTGGTATTATTAAGACATTCTTGATAATCTCTTCTGTATGGTTCACAAATTTCAATTGGTTTATCAAAAACGCATGTACAAAAATCACTCCAAATTGGATAACATGTTCCTGAACCACCCCAAGCACCAAAACCTGATGACATCTTTAATATTATATATATAAATGATAAAAAGAAAGAATTAAATGTTTTTTTAAAAAAAATTGAAAAAAAAAAAAAAATTTTAAAAAAAATTAAAAAAAAAATAAATAAAAAAAAAAAATTAAAATTTTTTAAAAAATGAATTTTTTAAAAAAATAAAAAAAATAAACAAATAAAAGAAATTATTTCTTTAACCCCATTACTTTATCTCATTGCAAAAACTTTAGAAACAATTTTTTTAAAAAAAAATATATATTTGTTTAAAAAATAATTAAAAAAATTACAATAAAAAATAATAAAAACAATAAAACAACAAAATAAATAAACAAAATAAATATCAAATATCTTAATATTCACTCTTTATTTCATTGTTATGCTTGGAAATAGTCTTTTTTTTTTTTTAATAAATATCAAAAAAAAAAAAATAAAAAAAAAAAAAATAATCCAAAATGGAAAAAAAAAAAAAAATATAAATAATGGAAACCTCTTAAACAATTATTATAAAAATTTTCAAAATTTGCATTTCAAAAAAGGGTCTTTTTGTTAAATTTCGTTTTCCTTAATTCTAAACAAAAATAATAAAATAAAATAAAAATAAAAATGAAAAAAAAAAAAAAAAAAAAAAACAATTTTTTTTAACCTATTCGCAAACTCTGGTTGCAGGATTGTAAAAAAAATAAAACAGAAAAAAAAAAAAAGCATAATACAATTCCATCAGATATTTTTATTTTTTTTTATTTTTTATTTTTTTTTACAATTATCATAATTGTTGTTGTTGGTTTTCACATTTCTAAATTTAATTAAAAAAAATTTTATTTTATTTTTTTTATACAATCATTTTAAATGTTCGAATAATTAAACCTATTAATAATAATAAAAATAATAAAATAATATTAAAAATAAAAAATAATAGAAACAATCAGAGGATAATAATATAGAGTAAAAGAAGAAGAAGGAAAAAAAAAAAAAAAAAAAACAAATAATGAAGTTTTTATTATTATTAGTTTTAACAATTTGTTTAGTCAATGTTGGATTAGCAAAAAGTGTTGAACCTCGTGGTGTAAAATTAGCATTAACAAAATCATCAGATTCAATGAGAGTCACATGGTGGACTGAAGAAAAGATGTTGTCACCAGTGGTTTTATACAGCACAAAGATGTTCACACCTGAAAGAGATTCATCATTTGCAGTTCAAGCTGAAGCTCAAAAGTTTGACAAATCTGATTATTATGGCTATCCAACTACAGCAGTTCTTCCAGATCTTGAAGAATCAACAACCTATTTCTATTATGTTGGTGACAAAGCTCAAGGTGTTTATAGCAATCAATTTAATTTTACTACTGGTTTAATTAACAAAGAAAGATCAAACTCATTTAGACCATTTAAATCAATTTTCTTTGGTGACATGGGTTATGGAGAAACCTATACAACTGTTGACAATATTTTATCCCGTCTTGATGACGATTTATCATTTGTTGCCCATGTAGGTGACATTGCATATGCTGATGTCAAAAATGGTGGTGTCCTCTATGGAGACCAAACAGTTTATAATTTATTTTTAGATGCCATTGAACCAATTACTTCAAATAAACCATATTTGGTTTGTCCAGGTATGTATATATTGTTATAAAAAAAATAAAAAAAAAAAGAAAATTTATTAATTTTATTAATTTTAATTTTAGGTAATCATGATGTTTTTAATGATCAATCTTATTATCTTAAAACATGGCAAATGCCAACTGATAAACATAAAGATTCATGGTATTCATTTGATTATAATGGTGTTCGTTTTGTTAGTTTTTCATCTGAACATGATTGGTCAGTTGATTCCTCACAATATAAATGGATCGAAAAACAATTAAAAAGTTACAGAGAATCAAATCCAGATGGTTGGCTTGTAGTTTACTCACATAGACCAGTTTATTGCTCTGCTAAATGGAAATGGTGCTCATCTGATAATAAAAAAGTATGTAGTTTTTTTTTTATTTATTATTTTTTTAAATTTAATATTAATTTTAATTTTTATTTTTATTTTTATAGGCAAAAGATTCATTAAAGAAACCTTTTGTTAAAGCAATTGAAAAATTATTATACAAATATAATGTAAATCTTTATATTGGTGGTCATTCACATAGTGTTGAATATACCTATCCAGTTTATAAAAATCAAGTTATGGGTGATTATGATGATCCAAAAGCAACTGTTCATATTACCGTTGGTACAGGTGGCAATGTTAATAGATTATTAAAATGGTACGATCTTCCAAGTTGGGCAAATGACTTTAGAAGCAGTGATAATGGATTTGGTGTATTAAACTTTGTAAATGAAACCCACTTAAATTGGCAATTCATTTCAAATGAAGAGGACAACCAAGTAATCAATGAATTCTATTTAGCCAAAGGCCAATTTTAAATAAATTATCAAAATAAAATAATAAAATAAAAAATTATATTTTTTATTATTTTTTTTTTTTAATCAAAACTTTAAAAAAATATTTCATTATTTCATTATTTTAATTATAATCATTTTATATTTTTAATCTATTATTATTATTAATCTTTTTTTTTTTTTTTTTTTCGTTTTTTTTATTTTTATTTTTTTTTATTATTTTTTTTTTTTTAATTTTTTTTTCATAAAATTTTTTTTATTTTTTTTAAAAAAAACGAAGCATTAAGTTTTGTTGCTCATACCTTTAGGGTTTTATTTATTTTTAGTTAATTAAACATAAAAAAGAGAAACAATGCCAGTTACAAAAAAACAAAAAGTCGGAGTATCATTCTCATCAAATACTAGAGAGCATGACGATAATAAAGTTGAAAAACCACATAAACAAACACCAAAGAAACAACCACAACAAAAACCAGTAGAAAAGGTTAACAATAAAAAATTAGAAAATAAATTACAATTCGAAAAAACTACCACCACCACCACTACAGCCACTAGTACTAAATTACATCAATGTTCATTTTCAGGTTGGTTACCAAAATCAATTTCATCCATTTCATATAATAATGAAAAGAATTTAGTTGCAGTTGGTCGTGAAGATTCATCAATTGATGTTTTTATTAGAGATGGTCAAGAATTAGTTTTATTAAAAGTAAATATAGTAAATTATTTTATTTTTTACAACTATATTTAATATTAATTACTTTTTTTATTTTATTTATAATTTTAGACATTAGGTGGATCAAAATTCGATTTCCCAATTATTTCAACTGTATGGTTAAAATTATCAAATGAAAAATTGGTTTTATTATCAATAATGGAAAATAAATTCGTTATGTGGGATATAGATAGTTATACAATTATTCAAGAATTAAATACAATTGGTACAGTAAAAGATACATCTTACAATCACAATTTAAATTTATTGGCAGTTTGCACAACAGATTCAATTGTTCGTATTTATAATTTTGATGGTGAAAAAATCGATTATCAATCATCATTCCCAACTATCACAGATTCAAAATCAAATGTCATTGAATGGGGTATCGATCAAAAGACAATTATTGTTGGTTGTACCAATCAATTAGTTTTATTCAAAGTAGATTCATTAAGATCAGTTTTAAATGTTACTACAGATAATATTATTTCATTAAAACCATTAAGGTAAATTTTATTTATTATTATTTAATCATCAATTAATTATTTATTATTATAACAATGCTAATTTATTTTAAATTAAATTAATAGCGATAATACAGTTGTATGTGGTTTTATAAATGGTTTTGTTTCAATTTTTGATATTGGTTTTGGTAGTATTATTCAAGATTTTAGAAATCTTCATGCACCAGTTAGAGCAATTCAAGTTTCTAAAAATTTCCAACAATTCTATGCCTCAGGTGATGAATCTATTGTTGTTTCATATAATAAATCTGGTGATAAATGGGCACCAAGCGGTCAACATAGAAGAGATAGCCATGATATCAAATGTTTAGAAATTACAGATAAATATTTAATTTCTGGTGGTAATAGCACTCAAATTATATTTTATGATTTACAAAACTTTACCAGTTTAAAAAATAATAATAACTATCAACGTTTCAAATCATATCCATCAAGCAACACTATTTCAATTACCAATAATAAAACTTTACCAATCCTTTTAGTTGAAGCTTCAAGACACCAAATTAATCTTTGGTCATTAGGCGATTCAAAAGAACAACAAGATTCATTAGATTTACCAAATGGCACTCCATTAGCAATTACTGATAAAACTAAAAAATTATTACAATTGGAATCAAAGGTAAAATATTAATTACACTAATAATTTCAATTAATTTCTTTAATAACTAATAGTAATATCTTGTTTTTATAGAGTCCACTCAATATTGAAGATATTAATATAAGTAATGATGGCAATTGGTTCAGTTATTCAACTAGATTAGAAACTAAATTATACTCAATCGGTAAAAAAGATAGTGGTAATATTTCAATTAAAAAAGTAGATTTACCAAACGAAATTTCAGCATCATCCATTTCTAAATTTACAAATGATTCAAAATCATTAGTTTTAGCAAAAGATTTAAATAATATTTATTTATTCGATTTACAATCAAATCAATTTAATAACATTTCAAAAGAAGAAGAAGAGGAAGAACAAGATAATTTTAGCGATAAAAATAACAATAATAAAAAATCTTCAACCATTAGTTCAATTGAAATCGATAACGAAAATAAAAATTTATCACTTATAGATTCAATGAATCAAGTATATATCACTAATATCAAATCATCAAAACCAAACAAACCAACTAAACTTCCAAATATTAACTCTATTCCAACCAAACTTTACTTTTCATCAAATAATTCAAACACTCTTTTCATTGGTACTATAAATTCAATTATTTCATTCGATATTAAACAACTTAAAGTTTTATCAGTTTGCAAATTAAATAAAGCTGTCAAATTCATCACATCAAATCCAAATAATTCTAGTGAACTCCTTATCTGGAACAACTCTAATGAACAAACCAAATTTAACAAGGATGATCAATCAACCAATAAATCATCATCATCTTTCTCTGAAGTCATTTTTGCCGCTTCACAATCAAATAAAAATGATTTAGTTATTGTCGATCTTTCATTCTTTGATAGAGTACTTCCATCACTCCCAGAGGCTATTAAATTAAAGAAATTCGGTGGTCAATAAACAATTTTATTTTATATAAATAAAAAAAAAAAAAATAAAAGAAAAAAAAATATAATATTAAAAAAAAAAAGGATTATTTATTTATAGTGTACACTTTAAACCTATTGAAACATCAAGAGATTCTCAATTGTTTTTATTTAAATAAAAATTGCTTAAACTATGTTTTTTTTAAATACATTTTTTCATTTTATCAAAGCTTTCCCATGGAAATGGACCACATAATTTAAATGATTTTGCCTCACAATCATTTGATAAACAAGGTAAATCAACAATTCCCGAGATGTCTTACGCTTTCTATGATGATGTTTTTGTATTGAGATAAATTTTGTTTTTACTCATAAAATTTAAAAATTAATAAAAATTCTTTGTGTGTTAAAAAATAAAAAAAATTTTATGTGTTTTATTTTTTATAAAAAATAAAATTTTTTTTTTTCAAAACAAATAAATTTTAAAAAAAAAAATGAAAAAAGAAAAACTATTTTTTTGTTTTATACTATTTATTTGTTTTTTTTCTTTTATTAAAAAATGTAAAGGTAAAGAAATAGATATTGAAAATATAAGTTTTTCAAGCTTTATTAATGATTGTAACTATCAAATTAAACAATGTAATCTAACAATTTATTAAAATAATTTAAAAAAAAATTCATTTTCAAAACCATTATTGTTTTTTAATCATAATGTATCAAGACAATTAGATGATAATTATAATCCAATAACATTTTTTGGTGTATTTAGGGTAGTAAGTAAATACTAATTATTTTAAACTAACCTTTAACTAATAAAACTATTAAAAATTTATTTAATAAGATTAATATTTACAAAAGAGTTGAATCACAACCAGTTTTCCACCGTATCTCAGGTGAATTACTTTATCAAGGTTTTGATGATTATCAAATATCAATAATGGATTATTCAGGTGCTCCAGATCCAAATGAATACAATCATTTTAAATTACCAATTTTATACCATTGTAAAGTTTATACAGTATTTTATGGATATTATAAATTTGCATGTTTATCAATAGATAAAAATAATAACCTAATTGTTGTTAATCCAGAAATGTGGAAAGATAGTTATTATTTAATTCAAAATACCTCAAATAGTATCAATAAAACAAATTTAGAAAATTCATTCACAGCAACAGATATAAATAAAAATTTAAATATTTATTATTACTATTTATTGGATGTAAAAGGTCAAGTAAATGTTGGTATGAATAAATTTGAATGTATTGAACGTTATGATATTGGCTACGAGTGTAACAAATTTTCAATCAATTTAATTCGATTAAATCAAATCAAAGTACCAATATTAAATTATACAGATATTATTGGAATATTAGGATATAATGATTCAATATTAATATGTGGTAATCATCCTTCAAATAATAGTTTAATAGTATATAAATACAACATTACAACTGAAGAACAACAATTTTTATTTTCAAATGATATGAAATTAACTCATGTAATTCAGCACCAATTCTTATCAACTCAAAATTGTCTATTCTTTTCAAATAAATCAAATTCATCAATTCTTTATGATATATTTAATGAACGTATCATTTTAAAAAATGATAAATTAAATTTAAATATATCGGAACATTTAGAACAAGGTAATGAAAGAACTATCTACTATTTTATGCATGATGCTGAAATTGAAAAATATATACCACCAATTAATAGACCAGGTTATTATGGCCAACCATTACCAACAGAAGAACCATATTATTATAGCACACTAACAAACAATTCAAACTCTATTTATCAATTATCACCAGTATTAATTTTATTAATTTCAATTTTTATTTCAATTTTATTTTTCTAATTAATCACAATAAATAAAACATTATTATTTTTTTTTATTATTTTTTTTTTTTATTATTTATTTATTTATTTATTTATTTATTAAATTATTAAATTAAAACTGATAAATATTTGATATATGAATTTTTAAACCTTACTTTTAAAAATTATTTTCTTTTTATGAATTATTATTTTGATTACCTTTTTCTTTTGAGTTTTAACATCTTTATAAGTGCCATCAGCAGATATATATATCTCGAGATGTATATATATTGGATTATCATAATTACCAACATCAATTTCAAATATATTTATTTTTTATATAAATTTTAAAAAAATAAAAATGGTCAATTTATAAAGAAAAAAAATTTTAACTTTGTTTGGTATGATCAAAACTCTTTTGATAGGGGAGAAGAAGAAAGGTTGACTATTACAAATATATAAAAGAAACTCTCTAAATAATAATGGTTTGGCATTTGGTGTTTAAAATAAATTAACAGAAACCCAACAATTATATAATAATATATAAAAACCATTGAAAACTACTAACTAACTTATCTTCTTGCTCTTTGATCATTTCTTTGTGGATTTATAACCATCTTTGAGGAATCAACGTAATTGTGACAATTATTATACAACCTTATTACTCTTGGTGTTGTTATAAACTTCTTTTCATATTGGTTTTAGTTCATTTTCTTTTTCTTTTAATATTGGTTCGGGAATGTTGGTTAGGATATAAAATGTTTTATTCTTTTACATTGCCATGCTATTGCTGTAAATTGTTCATTTTGACAATATTTAATTTCACTAACTTAGAAATAATTAATGAAAATTGATATGCGTGTATAATAAATAATTAAAAAAGAAAAAAAATTTGTTTTAATTTAAAAATTTTGAAAAAAAAAAAAAAAAATTTTTTAATTTTGAAAATAATCAAAAAAAACCTCTAATTTTTATTTTACCAAATAGAACTGAAAATATTTTTTCTATATAATTCATATAATTTTTTATTTTTATTATGTTATTTTTTATATTTGTGCAAATTATAAATAAAATGATTTGTTTTAAAAACTTTCATTACTTGAATATTCTTCACTTCAGAATAGTCACGATGGGTTTCGTTTTGGATGGAATCGATTTCAATATTATTTAATGAGGTTTTGGTTTTTTCATTGGATGATTGGTACAATGATTTTAAACCTATATTGAATGATTCAGTTATTTTTTTTTTATTACAAAATTGAATTTTGTTTTCCTTTTTTATTTTATCAATAGAAATATATGTTTAATATGAAAAATTATTTTTGCTGAGTTTATAAAATGCAGAATTAAAACTATTATTGATGATGGTTGAATTATTGATTGAATGCTTGGTTGTTGAATTGGGAACAAATACCATAATCCGGTTTTCAAAGACCAATTAACGGATGCGAGACCCAAACCAATGGTTTGTGCTCTTCCACTGTGCGATAAATCCACGTCTCCAGTTGACTTGATTCAATGGACTTCAAGACAGTGTTAAT